CTTCCTTCCTTCCTTCCTTCCTTCTTTCCTCCCTCCCTCATTCTCTCCTCCCCTCTCTTCCTTTCTTCTTCTTCTCCTTTTCCTCCTTCTCATTCTCTCTCTCTCTCTCTCTCTCTCTCTCTCTCTCTCTCAGATTTCTGGGGTTTTTTTTTTTGCGATAGAGGATGGGAGAGGGATACACAGAGAGAAGCATTGATGTGAGAGCAGAACGTTGATTGGCTGCCTCTTGCACGCTCCCCACTATAGATCAAGCCTGAAACCCGGGCATGTGCCCTGATCAGGAATCGAATCGGCAACTTTTTGTTGCACAGGATGACACCCAACCAACTAAGCCACACCAGCCAGGGCTCAAAGGAGTAATTTCAAATCTGACAGAGAAAGTCCCCGAGAGGGTAACAGTAATAGTAAGTATCATCTGACTGGATTTGACTTTCAGTGCCATCTCATTTTGTTAGATGCTAATGACAGTCCTGAGAGGTGGGTGGTATCGCTGAGCCCCATAAGTGAGGACACTGAGAAATCCTCAGAGAAGTGGCCACTCAGTGGAGAAGGGATGGAGCTGGCCCACCCAGCTGTGAGTGATATGCTTAAAACACCCAGAAAGGTTCAGAAACTAAGGAAAAGTAAGTTAGGGAATTAACAAGCCAGATGCTTTGACTGTGAGGTAGGTATCATTACATCCAATTTTCAGGTGAAGAAACTGAGGTACAGAGATGTTAAGTAAACCACCCAAGGCCACATAATGAGAAAAGTGAAAGACCTGGATTTGAACTTAGGTCTGCCTGCCTCCGAAGCCTGTGTGTTTCCATGTGCCCAGGGCCGATCTGCGCCTGGGGTTGGGGCTGTGAATAGCTGTGGGTCCACAGAAGCAGAGAGAGGTAAATGAGGTGTGTCTGTGTGTAGGGTAGAGGGAGGTTCACCAGAGAGGGTAGTTCGGGCTAAGGGAGATGAGGAGGTGGGAGATTGGGACTGGCAGTCTGAGTGTTTGTAAAGTTCATAATGAGTTGTTACAAACGAGTGACTTTACTCTGGACAGACAGAGGCAGGGACTCTATCAGAGCTCTTGTCCCCTGCTCACTCTGCTTTGGAGAAAACAGAAATATCTCAGAGCAACAAACTCATTTTTGCCTCTGATTTCTTCTTACACACTTGCTGAGAAATTCATCGCTGACCTCTACTTGATTCATTTCTGCCTATGTCTAACAGCCGGTATGTGCTACCCGTGGTGAGATAAAGAATATGATTCTGCTTTTAGGAACTCTGTCTCATCTGGAGAACAAGACATGTGCACCAAATAATTTTCTAACAATGGAAGACAGTTTTTGTAAAATGTTAATTAAAATTGGCTGCTCACCAGACACCTTCACCTCCACCCAGGAACAGAGAATGGTGACGCGCGACAGGGGACAGGCATGGCTCTTAGAGAGACAAAGAATAGCGGACAGTTCCAGGCCTCCTAATGTTCTCTGTGCCCAACTGGAGCCTCTTCTCTCAGACCTACCCTACCTGGACCCTGGTCAGAGCATCCCGGGAGCCCAGATGCTCAAGTTCAGCCCTGGAAATGCCAGGAAGGATTAGGCAGACACCAGAGCCATCCCTGTTGACAGTCTCCAGTGACTTAGTGAGTTTCTATTAGCCATTCTGGGCCTAATCCCCAACTGGACAGGTTGCGTTGGCCCTGCTGTTTCTCTGAGTCCCCATCCACGCAGGGAGCATGTGACTAACATGATGATTAGCCTCCTTGGTTTGGCCAGGAAAGCTGCCATTTGAAAGGGAGTGAGAATTTCCCAGAACTAAGTGTCCAGCTCCTAGAGCAAGCAAACTGGAAGAATCTTCTCATAGGGAGGAAAAAGGAACATCATGGCAAGAACAGTGGGAGGAGGGGTTCTCCCTTTTCCTGCTTCACCAGTGTTCCTGCTCAGAACTCCACAGAGTTTTGGTGGTAGCACATGTTTGTTGGCTTACATGTGAGGGGAATGTACATTTCCCGCCATGCCCTAATACTACCATCATCTCTGGTCAAGAGTATAGACCTGTCATCCCCACGGAACTGTAGCTTACGCTGCCTTCCGCCTCCTGTGGGCCCTTGTTCCAGCATGAATGCTTTCCTCTCCTCCTCCTCCATCCAATCAGGACAACTCCAACACCACCGGTTCCATAATATATTTTCAGATGATCCCAACAGATGAGATCTCTCTTTAGCATCTTAGCTTGCCCTCAATAGTCTTTTGATGGTGCATCTTTTACAGCATTTATTTTACTCTGTCATCCTTATCATTGCTTATCTATCTGCATAATCCTCCTTTCTGGATTTGCCCTCTTTGGGACAAGGCTGATTTGTAGTAAATGTGTGATGAGTTGATGTGGAAGCCCTGCCCATTCTTCTGGAGGACACAGCTTTCCTCTAAAATCATGAGGGCTGGCCCCCTATTCCATCCCACTAGAGCTACTGGGCTTTATCCTTGTGCTCCTGGGGCTAGAGTGGGATAGCTCAGCACCCGAGGCTAAGGGGGTTCCCAGGACCCAATGGGGAAAAGCTCCATTGCAGCACCAGTCAGGGCAAACTGGATTTGTGCTGGTTTCCCTACAAACCCTACAAACCTGTCTGTTCTGGTCTCTACTAGGGTTGGTCTGCTTTGAACTATTTCCTCCTTCATTGATCAAAGCACCTATCCCTCCCAGAGAGAAGCCAGGATTAAGAGAGGATGACAGGGTGTTCTGAGCACACTGAATGAAAAAGGAACACCGAGGATGTGCCAAGGGGAAAGCCAGTGAGTAGGGAGTTACTAGTGGGCTTGGAATTCAGTCCTCATTTAAAGGGCAGAGCGTGAGGAGCAGGTGCAGTGTGCTGTGCGCACCAAGGTCATCCAGGGGCCACGGGCTATTGGTAAATGTGCGCACTCACTGTCTTCAGACACCTTGACGTTAGGAAAACAAGAAGGCACCCACACAAGGTTCTTATCTTCAGCGGTGGAGAGAGACCAACCCAGCTCACCACCTCACTGGCTACAAGGCTTTGAGTAAGGTCCTAACCGCTCTGACCCTCTGCTCCCTTACCTGTAAAACTGATAAGCTCTGCTCAGGACACGTGGTTGTTGTGAGGTTAAAAATACACACTGGGTGTGAAAGTGCGTCTTAAACTGATGAACACTGAAACATATGGGGGGGGGGTGTTGTTATTTAAGTAGTAGCAGTGAGCTGTTCGTTTGAATACAGAGAAGAGGAATGTATACAAAATGAATGTTCAAATGGATCACTCATTCTATCTTTTAAAAAACACCAAACTATAAATAATAAATACAAGACACACCTTGAAAAATCTAAAAACAGAAGTTAGAGAAAAACAACAACAGTGGGATTATTCACTAACAAAGGTATGTTTATTTTTCCACAAAAGGGTTTACCACAGACTTCCTTCAATTACCCGTGTGTTAGTTGATACACCATTAACTCTTTCAGAACAAATGAGTATAAAGTTTAATGTTAGGAGCCGTGGTTTGCAGATCAATCCAAAGTAATACTATAATTATCTACGAGGCAGAAGGAAATAATTTCAGTTTATGCAGCCTTTGTGGTGCAGAAAGCTGGACCGTCTCACAGTGAGCCTGTCTCTAGTTATCCACACGGAGCTGCTGTGGGACTGGGGACAGGACTCCTCCCACCAGAGTAAGACCCTGCTTTCACTCCCTGACTCCTGAACTGGGAGTGACCAATGCTTGGTGGCCTTTGCAGTTATTGTAAGGATTACATGAATCCACGGACCTGCCAACCGTTGCTGCATAAGGAGATATAAGGAATACAGATCAGGCACATGTGTGTGAGGCTTGGTGGCCTTTGCAGTTATTGCAAGGATTACATGAATCCACGGACCTGCCATCCGTTGCTGCATAAGGAGTTATAAGGTTATAAGGAATACAGATCAGGCACATGTGTGTGTTACCCC